GTGTGTGTGTGTGTGTGTGTGTCAGCAGGTTGATGTGGCTGGCTCAGCACACTGTGGTATTTACTAATTACAGGGGAGCTGAGGTCACGGCCTCTGTAATTACAAGCTCTAATTGGCCAGCCTGCGGGCTGCCGACCAATCAGCTGCCATCAGGAAATTACTACCCTGGATAATAGTGTGTGTGTTTGTCAGTGGAGCTGTATTGTTTTATCAGAGTTTCCCACTCTGTGTGTGTTTTAGCCACAAACTGAAATATCTCCACAGCTGGTGGGGGTGGTTGGTGGTGGTTGGGGGCACGGGGGCGTGGAGGAGGGATCCTGTGCTGCTCAGTCTGATACCTTTAATCTAACATGTTTAAAGCTTTACAGCTGTGTGCGGAGTTTAAAGTGTGCGCTCACAAACACGCCCCATCACAGACAGACGCTCGTCCTTTTATTTTTGGCATCGTCAGCCTTCATGTGAGCACAGCAGAGACACAGAGTGAGGGAGGGGACTCACACCAGCCTGACCTTTGGTGGCACCTGTTCAATCAGCTGTAGCAGCACCTGAGCCTGTTTGAATTCTGTTCACTGTAGGTGATTAAGTCATCATCGTCACTGATGGTCTGAGTGGACCGTGAGCTCCTCTGTACACCAGCCATGCATCAGCTGAAGCTCAGACCTGTCAGCAGGACAGAGCTCAGAGCTGAACCAGGACTCGGTTTATCCCGCAGACTGACCACTTTTATTTCATGCAAAGTTTTGTTTAGTTGAAATCGCTGGACGGTAGCTGTGATGTAAGAATGAGCCGCTTTGTTTTTTTCCAGATTTGTCAGAGAAGAAAAGCGACCTGCGCGTGTGCGACACCGGGACGTGTCGCTTTGGAGGAACCTGCCGCGAGAATGGCGCCGACATCAAGTGTGTCTGTCAGTTCCACGTGAGTTACACACACTCACTTCTACACCTTGGCGCCCCCTACAGGCTGCAGTGCTCGGGTGTAGTCTCCACAGTGCTATTAAATGCTTGCTGAATGAAACCAATCACAGCTTTTTATGTGTGTGTTACAGCTGCTGTTACAGATGTGATTAAAGCTTCTGAAACGTGATCATTGTGAGCTGGTCACACAGCAGGGTGCACATTGTTTACACATGCTAACTGTGCTGTCTTTGGCATTGTGCACAGATTTTTGAATTTGGTTAGACCGGAGCGCACTGACCAATCAGCAGCGAGCCTGCCTGCATCGTGAATGAGGTGTTACCTTCAGGCTCCCTCAGAGTCCTGTGTGTGTCTGAGTGCTGTGATAAAGCTACTTTGTGTTTCAGTGCAATAAGAAGTACGTCCCCGTGTGCGGCTCCAACGGAGACACGTACCAGAACGAGTGTTTCCTGAGGAGAGCGGCG